AAACACAATAAAATATGACCCCGGTTTGATGATTGACAGGTCACAAAACAATGGGAGCTATCTACCCTTACCCACAATTTAAAGTAATTCACACAGACTATCTCCTCTTTGCTCTTCTCTCTGTGTGGAGCAGCAAGTTCAGCTGTCAGAACAAAGTGAAAAACAAACAATGGCATAAAATAATATTAATATGTTTGGTAGTAATAGTGTCAATACTTTATTCCACCGTTTTAATGCCTGACACAGTGCTACATAAGCATTTCCCAATTTGGGATAGTTAAAGTATCCATCTATCTGGTATAGAGCAATGTTAGGGTATCAATTACCTCTTGTAAACTACAGTGATGCAAATTAGTCGCTTTTCGGCGCCTCCCGCTTTTTTAACGCTGATTTGGGTGACTTGTGTAATTCGTGGAGAACCAAAGAGTTTTCGTTTTGGGGGGGGGGTCCGACTGACGGACAATTTCTCACTTCAAAAAAGAAGAAGAAATCTAGATCGCAAAATAATTAAACAAGGGAGTTCCTGTTTTTCCTGGCCAATAACAGGTTCCTTGAACACAACACGAGCGTAACGTGTCTTCGCGTGGTTATGTCTCGTCTGAAAGGAGTGTAGACTAGAGTGCTGACGGAGAGCACCGGAACGTCGCTCCAGCTCTTCAAATATTGCAGTACCCATAAGGAGCCGTACACATGCCGCAGTGTTTGCGTGGCTGTGTCTTTAGTTGTAAGCACAGTGGCGATCTGTTGTTATTAGCATCTGGTTAGCTAGCTATGCTAACGAATTTAAAGAGCTTTTCTACAACCAGGTGGAAGAGAGCTCTCTCCTGAGAGGCTCAAATAACCTCAGCTCAGTGAGGTTAAGGCACACCTTGATATGATCATTATAGTTATTAATGAGACATTAAAGACTAAATTAAAAACAGGTATAAAATACTATGACAGTGACAAAAAAGTTGTTAAAAATAACAAGAATAGAGTTTAAAAGGGGAGTGATTTCTAAAATATCCAAAAAGAAAAATCTGCTTACAGTTCTGTTTCAAATGGGTGTTGAAAGATGTACCCATATATCTCCTCATGTTGCTCTCAAAGTGCACCAGATTGATGCTTTTATCTTCAATATTTAAAAAAAAATCTTCCCGGAGGAGCATGCCCTCGGACCCCCCTAGAGGAGGTTAGGTCCCCCCCACTTAAATCATGTTCACATGGACACTAAATACATTTGCACACATCTTGTGTCCATATCTTTCTGTTTTGGTGGTCATACCACAACCGTGCACGTGCATGCATGCGTGAGTCATGGTAAGATATCTGGATTAAGAGGTTGCTTTTTCTTTGCACAGAATGAAAGAAAGGCGAAATGAATGGGCTGTGATTTTAGTTTTTTTCAAGCAGAGGTTGAGTTCAATAACGTGTACGGCCCTCGGAGGATGTTGTAAAAATTGAAAGGAAAAAGGTTCCCCACCCCTGCTGTAAATAATAATAAAAACCCTTGATTTATAACTTAACATCTCCGTCCCCTATTGATCTGAGTATATTATAAAGAATAGCCAGTTAATTGAAGCATTATAGCACAGGCCTTTGTCAGATGGTATATTACGCTGTTTTTGTTCTGCTTCGAATAGTTCTCTCTTTTTTCACCATACCTGTGTTTGCATCACTGAAACTGAACATTTTTGGTATACAAGTTACAGTGTTCGTACAGGTGCTTGAAATCCTTGAAAATGCTTGAAATTTGACGTGGTGTTTTCAAGGTTGGGAAAGTGCTTGAATTTTGGGAATGGTGCTTGAAATTGAGATAAAGTGCTTGAAAATGTAAATGCTTTACTTTTACAATAGATTGCTGTCTGACTGAATAGTTAGCTGTTTAGATTAACAGAAAAGAATTGCTTCGCTTCTACATAAAACATCTCTGCTCCGGCCTTCCCGCGCTATGCGCGCGACCTGCAAGTGTTTGTGTTGCGTGTGACCTGGGCATTATGATGAGAGTGATAGATGACTGTGTGCCAGGAGGTTGCCGTTTCAACGAGCGTTGGCTAGCAGAAGACAAATACAAGCCATGGCTAAGACGAGGGTCAAGCCCACGAGTAGCCTCCTGCAAAGTTTGCAAAAATAACGATGCGAGAGTCTGCGCTGACGAGCCACATGAAAGGTACGCCGTAGTAGAGCATTTTAGATTAGGCTAACGTTGCATGTTACGTTTGTTTAAGCTAACGTTAGCTAGCTGAATAGCGAACTCGATGAGGGATAATAATTGCAGGGGATAATCATTTCAGAGGAGCGTTACAGTCGCCATCGTGTGGTGTTCAGAGGATGAAGCACTCACGGCATTTCGTGTTATAGTCACGAAATATAATCTATTGATTCGACACAGAGCGATTTTGAAAGCAATGTATTTCTACTGGTAGTATGTTTCGTGCCTAAACCAAATGTGACTTGCTCTATCGAAATCAGTCACATTGACCCGAAGACACATTTTCGTTTGTATTACTGGTCTGGGGGAAGCTCGCGAGTGTGTTTGTGTATTTTTGCGTTTGTGTACTGGGGAAACACTCACAAGAAACACCGGCTGTTGTTATGCTTGCTGTGATGTTACATTAGTCCGTTCTCCGCTTGTAATTATGCCGTTACAAGCTTCAAAGTTGTATTTATCATCTGAATTTGCCGAAACAAGTTTAATATTCTGAAAGCCAAGACTTTGTTTATTTGAAAACAGATGAAAACAAACTGTCTTTTATATAAAATTGAAGTATTATACAAGTAAAACTACATTTTGCTTTAATCCCATGTAATTGTAGAATGAACACAGTCTTCCTTTGAAGATGTATAAGTCAGGTGTCTTGAGTAGTCAGCATTACCTACAAATCATTGTACACATTTGTAAATATTATTTTCCACTTGTTACCATTGTGAGTCTATTTCTATGCAGCTCTGCATGATTTTGTGGCTACAATTCAGACTAATACACTACCAGAGGTGGAATAAGTACTCAGATCTTGTACTTAGTAAAAGTAGAAGTACCAGAGTGTAGGAATACTCTGTTACAGTAAAAGTCCTGCATTCAAAATGTTCCTCAAGTGAAAGTAGAAAAGTATTCTCATCAAAATATAGTGAAAGTAGCGACAGTAAAAGTAGTCGTTGTGCAGATTGGTCCATTTCAGAATAATATATATGATGTTTTATAATGATTGATCATGAAAGTGTTCTCAAAGCTGGTAAAGGTGCAGCTGGTTTGAATGACTTTGTATACTGCAGGGTAGCTTGTGGATTTACTCCAGGTGGAACTAAAGTCTGATTTAACACTTGATTAGATTTCACATCATTCATCCACATCTGTGAAGTAACTAAAGGTATTAAATACATGTAGTGGAATAAAAGTACACCATTTACCTCTGACTTGTGTTCACTGCCAACCTAAAAGTACCTCAAAAATAGTAATCAATAATGTATTGAAAAGTTATTTGGCTGATTGTTTTATATCGGCTCAGACAGGTTATATGGGAGGCCTAGTCTACGTACAGATCACTAATTTTTAAATATTAAACTTAGTTTTCTTTTCTTTAATTGTTCATCCTCGTGTAGAAGGCTATCACGAAACACACATTTGGTTGTTAATAGCATAAAGAACATCTGATTTAATGTGAGGTAGGGAAATAATCATTTGAGTATGTGTATATAAATATGTAATTTACAACAGCTGTAAGATGCTTGAAAAGCTGGAAAATGCACCTTGAAAATGCTTGAAAAGTGCTTGAATTTGACTTTGGAAAAGGTGTAAGAACCCTGAAGTTATGTATGTTGTTTTTGTCTATGCTGTCAGGCATTACAGTGAGAAGCAGAGATGGCGACCAGTTCTCCGCATCGTAAATCCCCAAGCTCCAGGGGATCGACAACAGGCTGTTGTGGTGCCATCAAAACAGGCCCGTTTGTATCGGGAAAAGAGAAAGGCTTTTCCACACCTCCGGTGGAGCTGCTCAGCAAGGCCACTGCCATGGCCAAAGCAGAGAAGCTCCTTCGAGCCAAACACAAGCCTTCACGCCAGCAGTGCCTGGGAAAGCTGGTCTTGCCATTTGGCCAGTCTGTCAACGCACCCTTTCACTGGCTAGTGGAAAATGACGTGGGCTACATAACGTTGTAAGTATATTATATTTAATACAATGTTTTTGCTAAGCATTTATATAAGTTGTGTTTATGGCTATTATAAAAGTGTAGTATTCATCTTTACAAAGTTCCTTTTCTCCTCATCACAATTGCAGTGCTTTTACGACGATGACACTAAATGTATGTTTATTATTGCAGACTGCTTGATAAGCACAAAGTAGAAGTGGAAGACCCACACCGGAAGGGAGATGTGGGGAACCGGTGGGTAAAAGACCTCCTCACAGAATACGCAGAGAGCTTCCCACAAGTCTCCGGTCTCCTCGAGGCCAATGTGGACAGGTGGATCTACGGCCAAAAGGGCTTTGAGAACAGCACCTTTCAGGAGATGTGGGAACTCTGGCCAGTACCAATCCCAAAAGGACAGCCCTGAGAAAGGCAGTGGTGTCCAGAGGGAAAGGATGGGGAAAGCCTACAGGTCTGTGAGCAAGTGGTTGCACACACCAGTGACCCAAATTACCAGCGTGCAGTTGAAGAGGTTCTGTAAGTACATCACGGACAAGGAACAAGTAAGTGTTTAATTGATTATTCCTGTGTTATCACACAGGAAGAGTTGCAAATCATGGTCACATCATACTGTCATATCAATATCAGCACTCCTGCTAAATGTGTTGTTTTATTTTGGTCATTAAAAACTGGCATTAAATTATCATTAGATTTGTTTTCACTAACCTCAGACGAGCACGCTGGACTCATCCTCGTTGCCAGGGGATGATGCTGAACTGGTAGCTGCGAGCCAGGCTGTGGAAGAAGGCAAGTGAGACACAGTTAATATATGAAGGAAAACATGTTCAAAAATAATAATCCTAATTCAAATGTGCTTTGTTTGGTACATTTTTAGATAGGATCAAGAAAAGGCCCAAAGCAACTGCTTACCGACCTGGAGGCACTGCTGTCGGGCCCGAAGCTGCTGCTCATTTTCCTGATGTGTCTGTCCAGCCTGAAACTGCTGCCGCCGCCCGGCCTGCTGCTGCTGCTGCCGCCGCCGCCCGGCCTGCTGCTGCTGCCGCCGCCGCCCGGCCTGCTGCAAAAAAGCATACATCTGGGCATAAAAACTCTGCTGGCCATTCCAAAGAAACAGAGGTCACTCGGCCTGAAGATGTTGCTACTGCTGCTGTCCAGCCTGCTCCTACTGTCCGGCCTGCTACTGCTGCTGTGAAGGCAAAGAAGCCAACATCGAGGCACAAAACCTCTGCTGGCCATCCAAAAACCCCGGAAGTCACTAAGTCCTGCACAGTCCTGCTGATCCAGATATGTCCCCTTCATATGTCCCCTTCGACATCCACGGCTTTTGACCTTCCGATGGCATCTCACCCGAAGGACGCAGAAGTAAAGATAGTTGTACTAGTGGAAAATTGCTTAATTACTTCATTGAATAATGTTATACCATAACTTCTTACCCTATAAGTCTCTAATGTATTCCATGTTATGCGTGTTACAGGTGGGTCTAGAGGGCTGGGTGCGTTTGTGGGAGAACCCTGGTGGCATCCCATCTGCCGACATATCCTGGTTGAAAGAGGGCTGTTTACCCCCGTTCAGACATACAAGGACATCAGAGGTCAGATCAAGTGATGAAGTCTGACCGGATGTGGATTTATCCCCCGGGACCTCCTGGCTTTGTCGGGGCGGTCTGCCTACTCCGCAACCATTTTTTAGGAGCCGGGTCTTTGTGTGGCGCCCCGTTGGAGTGTGGAGGTACTCGCTCAAGTGTCCGCGGGGAGATAACTGTGTCGGCAGTGGGAGAAATGTGCACCTCTCCAAGTCTGACTACCACTCAAAGGTATACATTCTCTCTGACATTACAGTTGAAAATGTGTTTCTATGTATGAAATGGGCACTGAAAGTTTTATGCTGGCCTTCATTTTGATTTCCCTGTCTATTTTATAGGTACGTCTCATCTTTGATGTGTCCGGCTGGTACACGGTGATCACAGAGGTGCTGTCCCGCGGACCCTGTACAAAGGCAGCCAGTAGCAAAGAGGGTGTCTCAGTGGGCCGGTGGCTTGCGTGGGATAACGCCATCCTATCCCAGCTCAGCGAGGCTCACCAAGCCATCTTTCCTGCCGTCCTTACCACCATGTGTGTTTATTTCACATTATATACCAAACTATACATTAACATGCTATAATGTGTGTGCATTTCAATTTTTTTTTAAATTGATCATATATCAATTGTGACTCTACTTACAGGCGTGGCGTAGACAGGAATGTCGTGCACCTTCTGAGGGACAGGACCGAAGGGAACACAATGGAGAAGGTGTGGCAGCAGGTACAGGAGAATCACCTCCATCACAAGGACCTGTAAACCACACTCCTCGTGACCATAGCTGCACCCGGAGGGATTGTCTCTGCAATGAGGCAGACATTCCAGGCTCCACCTGCCCAAAAACAGCTCCCCACAGCGCGGCTCTTGCGCCATGCCTTCCTGCTGGCAGAGGCGAACAATGTGCAGGATTACCGGAGCCAGATCCTCTCCACTTTTGGCACCGTCATGAAGATGGATTCCACCAAGAAAGTATGTAAATCAAAACATCGTTCTTTACCGTACGATGCAAATCACATACAATTATCACACAAATGATGATGTTACATATAATTACAATATACCACATTGTGCTTCCTTTAAATAATAATAATTTATTTATTTTAAATAAATTTCAGGTGGTGAAGAAGCTGTCTGGGCAGGGACGTGGCTCGGCCGAGTGGTTTACCAGCATCGGCAACGAGTACTCCCAGATTGTTTCTTTTGTGCTGACTTGTGAGGAGTCTGCACAGAAGCTGCAACCCATGTGCCGTGGAGTCATGGACAGGTTCCAGCTGGCCTATCAACCGGTCCCTAAGATCCTGTACATTGACCGCGGGTGTTGTCGTGATCAGGGCCCTACCGCCGCAGAGACAATGTTCCAGGAGTGGTTCGACGGTGCTATGGTTGTGCGTCTGGACATCTTTCACTGGATCCACCGGTTTGACGCAGCCGTACGCACAGACTCGCACAGCAAATACGGCGTGTTCAAGTCTGCACTAGCCGGGGCAGTGTTGGCCTACAACCGCACCGATCTCGAGCTGCTGATCAAGGCCATCAGAGCAAAGGACCCGGACACATTCAAGTCTGTGTTGGAACAGGATGTCGTCCGCCTGTACGTCACCAGAGGTCAGCTGCAACACCACGTGCGGAGGGTCACACTCGGAGCTCAGGAAACGTTCCGGCTCATCCACCTGGCCATCGAGGAGCTGAAGGGCTTGGCTGGACCAGAGTGGAGTGAGCCTCTTTAAAACACCTGATATGATCTCATACAAAAACATTATTTCAGCTTCAATACAGATGATGTAGCATATAAAGTGAGAATAACAAACTGTATGTATGTATATGTGCCTTTACAGGAGCCATTAATGAGATGTGGGTAGGGCAGCAGAGACACCTGGAGTGCATCCAGGATCCACCAGGGATGAATATGTATAGGGTGGCCCGTACCACAACTATCAACGGTGTGGACCTGCCCTACTACAAAAGTCTGCGTGGATGCAACAGCCTGGAATTAAAAGCAAATGAATCCTCTTGAAATAGAACATGTCAAATAGGAGAACATTAAACATTTCAATTGGCCTATGCATACAAATATGGTACGCTTCAAAATTGTTCTACGTGTTATTCTAGGTTGCAGATAAGCATTTCCCAAGCTCAGTAATAACCAAAATATCTAAGCTGATCTGCAGATGTCACGCCTGCCCATCTCTTTTCTTTTTTGTTGTATCTAATGATGGATTTGGTGTAAACAATAAAACACTAACATTTACACAACAATAAAAGCTTTCCGTTACTCTGCGGCCCTCCTCTGCTCAGGTCCCCATTGTGCAGCACGGCCATATCAGGTTTATCTGATAAGTGCCATCGCACGGTGGAACTGTGACAGGAGCACCGACGCAGTGTTTGGTGGCAAGGGACGGCGTCACAGGACATACTCGGCGCCTCTCATCCACCGCCTCAACACCCGCTGTTTGGAGAGACTGGAGGAGAATTTCCGGGCCCCCGCTGAGGTGGATTCCCACGAGCTGCTGGGGTTGGAGTACCTCTTCAGCCAGAGCACCTGCGTGCGACCAACCAGCTAGCGATGCTCTCCAAGACGACTTCCGTTTCCTCTGCCCACTTGCCTCAAGCGCCACACCAGCCAGCAGTCCTCCCTCCACCAGACTCCCCGCTGATGCAGTACGTGCCGACACCCAGCACGGCAGGGACCAAGTCGTTGAAGGGAAGGAGGGACATGATCGCGCCTCTCTCACACCCTCAGACATCACTGCCACCTGTGTCACTGCCACAGCCCCCAGACCTTTGCCCTCCCCCTCTCCATCCACAGCAACCCGGGCGATTGCTGGCCCCTCCACGAGGCCCATCGTGCCTGCCATTGCTGGACATCCCATACTGCCTGCCACCAGTACCATCGCCAGACCTGTGCCCTCCCTTTTCCCTGGCCCCATCCTGTCTGCCAGTCAGCCAACCCCAGCCATTGCTGGCCCCTCCTCAATGCCCTTACTGCCTGCCATTCAGGCAACCCCGTCTGCTGATGTGTCTGTCCCCCCTACTCTCGAGTGCATTCCCTCATCCTGGGCAAGGTCCACGCTGTACAAGCGCAAGGGGATGGACGAGCCCTTGGGAGTAGGAGCCAAAGTGTCCCGGGTTCAAAAGCTGCCGACGTGCACGTGCTGTGGCCAACCAACCCACCCAGGGGCACAAAAAGTACAGGCGCAAAGTCTTCTGCCCTGTGAAGAGGATGTCTCCATCAAAGGGTCTGGAGAACACAGTCTACAACAGTTACCAACATTTTACAGCTGTTGTTGACGTGTTGGAGCAATGACCTGTTGCTATGTAAATATTGTAAATAGTCATTTAAATGTTTTTCAACTTGCTGTGTTATCATTTTTATTTTTCATGTTGAGTTTTATATTTATTATGTATATTGTAAATATATGTACGTCATTAATGTAAATAGTTTTATGTACATTACACGCTTTTATCCAAAGCGACTTACATACTCAATCCTGTGGGCAATCCCCACAGGAGCAATTTGGGGTGAAGTTTATTTTTCATGTCGACTTTTATATTTGATGTATATTGTAAATAGTTTTCATTCATATGTACGTCATTAATGTAAAAGGTGTAAATACTTTTTATGTACATTACATGTTACTTGTTAGACGCTTTTATCCAAAGCGACTTACATACTCAATACTGTGGGGTGAAGTGTCTTGCCCAGGGACACAACGACATGCTGACTAGATCAGGGGAGCACAGGTTCAAACCCCACTGCAAACACCAACGCACTGTGCCACAGCCTCCCTGTACATAATTGTACATCTAATTTGTATCCACTTCAGCTTTTTTACCTGTGTTTACCTTAGTTTATGTTGCTGTTGCCATCCTTTATACTGAATCAATGAAGGTGAATGGTTGCTCAGAAAAGGTCCTAAAGAATCCAACTGGGTTCAATAGCTGTATCATTCCTGTTCTTCTTCTGCAGTGGAGTGAGATCTCGTTGTCGTTGACTTGCATAACAACAAATGTTAGTTTACAAGAAGTCATTGATACCCTAACATTTGATTCATACTAGCTGATAACAAATAAATCCTGGGATCTACAAAAATGAATGTGTTCCATGCATCTGATTTGTATCCAGTTCAGATTTTTTACCTGTGAATGTATGGTAATGATAAACGTTATGTATATAAGAAATTCCAAAGCAAGGCTGATAAAGACAGCCATTGCTGCAAAAAGTAAACTGTGTTGATTATCTATTCCAACTGGCATCAGATAATTAATATAAGTTCAAAAAATAAATATTAAAATGCTTCAAATTGTTTATCCTATCAACACTAAGCTATTGTGATTACAATGAGCAGTTGGTAATTTGGACTCCTTAGACATTCCATTTGTTAATTATAATTATCTGCTTTAACTATACTTCTAATCTGAAACCAAGTTTATGAACAAAGGAACACAAACGACCTTTTAGCCTGTACCTAACTCCATTTTTCTGAGAAACATGAGAGGTCAGTAGACACAGACGACTTCCTCCCCCGTACAACCCTCCTGTGTCTCTGTGGAATCTGAGTTGGCGATAGGCCTACAACAAACAAAAACCTGCCCTACACTTCACTCTCCCACGGTGCCAACCTCTACCCACAATCTACCGCCGCCTTTCCTCTCTTCCCTCCACTCTGCTGCAAATGCCCAAAGCCCCAGTGCTCACCAACCCCCAAAGGCAAACAGAAGACCACCTGGGGAACCATGCCAGCAGTACGTCATCGGGTAGGCAATTCAGATCGGTTAATAATCATATTAAAAAGAGATAATGTCAAATCATTTCTGCTAAGAATGACACTAATGTTCCTTATGCAAAAAGTCACGGAATGTACACAGAGATTAGGTGAAACTGGTGCAATATTTTGCTCGTTTTAAGGGTTGTGTTTTGATGCAAACAGTGATAATACCCAAAACAAGGACGAGGCATCACCATATTCTCAACAGCAACAAATGCCTTTTTGAACGGCCCACATGGTCCAACTTCAGTTTGTCCAGAAACATCAAGTAAGATGGCAGACGGCTAGACTTTGACATCCTATGCTGTGCATGCAGCAATAACTACAGGACAAGAACATTTGAGATAAGAAGAAAGCAGGGTAATACATAATAATGGAAATGTTATGATCACCACACGTCTAACACATTTTCTGCTCAACTGTTCTTTTCTGTGGTGAACAGAGAGAGACTGGCGCGAGCGGAGCCGTGGAGGATGGAAAAAGGGGAGAGGAGGCACACTGGAGGGAGCAGGCTTCATATGGCAAAAAAGGACATTAAAACAAGTGACTGCAGGCTGAAGAGAGACACAGAGGAGCGTGGAGGAGGACAGTCAAGCAACTAGAATCTGCCACTTAATCAGGTCATGTACACCCACACAAACACGCCACACACGGAGGGAGTACATTAAATGATCGTTTCAGACTGACGACCTTTAACACCGGAACATTAGACAAAGAATTTGAGATTTTGGAACTAAAGTAGATAGGATACTATCACAATCAGAAACAACATTTGTAACTTAGGAAGTACAAGGAGAAGAGATTATTTTCTTATGTGATCCAGGCATGTCAAACTGACATTTTGACACACACATTGATCAAGAGAGGGACATGCAAGCAAATGCACCTGAGGGACAGAAATCCTAATGGAAACACATCTATGCACACATGTAAGCCTATGGGAAAGACCAGAAGCCTATTTCGATATCTAGCTATATTGAGCCATATATGTCTCAACAGGAGGGAGATGTTGAATGTTATTCAAAAGGTGTTAGTAGCATTAGCTTTACAAACAAAGAAAACACTTTTATTTTATTATAATTATTATATAAATCCTCAGGGACAGTTTAGACCAAAAAGAGTCAAAACACCTGAGCCGAAATATCCGTATTATCTGCCAGAGCCAAAATAATTTGTAAGAGAGGATAACAACATTGGAGAAAACACAGCAGAAAATATTGCTAAAATGTTGAGAAGAAAAGAGATCACAGGTGTTGTTGTTCCCCCTACACAGGAAACAACTGACCCCACACAGCCAGTGAGACCAGGACAGTGGGTCTTCATCTGAGTGATGAAGAGGAAAACCTGGCACTCGCCCAAGTGGGAGGGTCCCTACCAAGTGCTCCTGTCTACACCGACTGCAGTTGGAGGAGCAGAGACACTATCCTGGATTCACCTGACTGGAGCTGTTCAGGACTAAACACAGAAACTCAACTCTGCTGTGGGGAATTCTGGCTACAAAGGGAGGTGTCACCAATAGGGCCACTTGTCTCAAACCAGTGAAGAAATCAACAGAACCCAGCCGAACTAGAGAGTGACTGTTAGCAGGAGAACAGTGACAAGTCTGAGCGACAGAAACTGGCACACCATGTACCAGCCAGCACATGATAGACCATGGCACCCCTTCAGGAGACCGGGGCTGTGGTTTAAGGGCAACTTCATGCATCTTTTGAACTATAGCCCTCTTGATAGTAAAACCATTATTATTGGGGGAGACTGAGAACCTAAGACAGCGAAAACTTACATTTGAAACCAATGCTACCGAGACCTCATCCATTGTAACTAACAAATCAGATTCACAAATCAGAGTCAAGAGAAGAATGGTTAAATTGCCCAGACAAGATCACAACATGATGGACATCAAACTTTAAGGCTAGAAGACCCGAGGAAAGGGACCCCAGGGGTCCCTAACATAACATGCACCCTATCCTTAACAATACAGCCCCAGATTGCACAGTTACAAGGCCTTATATCCCTTTCAGAAGAATTGACTGACGAAGCAGAAAACATTGGACTATAACGACATGAGGACTCACATGAAAAAGTTAACAATCCGATTGAAATTGAAACATTTAAATTGTTATGCCTTACATTTATGCTGAGCTAATTGATTGAACTTTATTTTTGGCTTTTATCTTACATTTGAACATTTTGTATTTTCAATTAAGTTGTATACTGAGTATAAACAGGAGGGTTATGTTGGAAAAATACTGAATGTACTCTTCTAATATTAGAGTAGCACATGATAACAAAGGCCCTACGTAGCTGTGTACTGTACGTAACCAGATGTATGATTACCTAGAAGATGACCAGGACACACTGTTTTAGGCATATGATAGCTATGTTACCACGATTAACATGATGATTCAGCCTCTAAGGAGATAGACATATGACTGTCATGTTTATTGTTTACGCAGGCCCTAGCTAATCTGAACTAAACATTGAATACTGCTTTGAACCGGTATTCTGCATCTTGTGACTGTAACACTCTCTTGTATATAAGCATGTCAAGGACACTGTTCTGGGAACTATTTGTCCCACGCAGTCCTGTGTGTGATGACTACTTCCATTTTTGCAAGAATAATAAATACATGTATCCTGATTTTAAAGACCAAGCTGGTGACGAGTGATATTTTTCTAACAATACGTTACATAAATACAGTGTAGTTTTGTGTATGTTATGACAATACACTTTTAATCTTGAATTCCATGGGAAAGTCACAAGCCGTGGATGTGGAGGGGGACATATCCCGGGACAGCAGGGGCTGCATGCTGCACAGGAGGGACCTCAGGGGGTTTGGGACAGCCAGCAGTGGTTTTCTGCCAGGTAGAAGAAGCTGAATGCTTTTTTTGGCCGGACATCAGCAGCAGCTTCGGGCCGAACAAACGTAGCAGCAGCCGCCACAGGCTGGAAAGACACATGGGCAGGATGGACAGCAGTGAGTACAGGTTGATAAGCAGTTGCTTTGGGATGTTTCTTGATCATGTCTAAAAATGTAACATTTAAGACATTGTTTTTTAACATGTTTTCATTTATTAACTCTGTCTTACTTGCCTTCCTGGCTTGCAGCAACCAGTTCAGCATCATCACCTGGCCATGATGAAGGGTCCAACGTGCTCCTAATGATATATTATTAAAATAATGTATGATGTGCCTGTTTTTAATTACCACAAGCAAACAAACACATTTAGCAGTGGTGAGAACTGCCACAGGTCAAATCACAGAGAATGCAGCTTAACAGGTGGTGTTGAAGGTGAATGGTTGCTCAGAAAAAGTCCCAAAGAATCCAACTGTTCAATAGCTAGATCATTCCTGTTCTTCTTCTGCAGTTGAGTGAGATCTCGTTGTTGTTGACTTGTATAACAATAAATGTTAGTTTACAAGAAGTAATTGATACCCTAACATTTGATTCATACTAGCTGATAACAAATAAATCCTGGGATATACAAAAGTGAATGTGTTCCATGCATCTGGTTTGTATCCAGTTCAGCTTTTTTAACTGTGTTTACCTTAGTTTATGTTGTTACTGTTGCCATAATTTATACTGAATCAATTAAATATTTTGCCAGAAAGGTCAAACTTTAGGAATACAGAGCAGTTCTTATCATGCCATAGCCGTGGAGGCAGTGCTAACTCAAATATAATATTGGTGACAAAAAACACACAGAGCAATCATTGCAATTGTTATATTCTAATTCCTCTGATATTATAGGTGTTAATTACCTATTGATTCACGAGTAATGAGTTGTTTTTGGTTGCAAAATCGAAGATCAAGGGGCATAAGTAGGACTACAGTATCTCTATAATTGTAGGTTAATATAATTAACATGCCAATGAAGAATTTGAAAGGTTTGTAGGCCTATTGATTAAATAAATAACAATGGATCTTGACAGAAGTTTTACCGCAATGGGTATAACAAATATAATCTAAATATTAATAGGGTAATAATACATTAATAGAGTTTTCAACTATCGCTAGCGTTAACTACTGGTTACCTGACAACGTTGTACTGTCTAATTTACCGACAATTAAATAGTGAACACAAGCAGAAATTAAATGGTTAACACTAGATTAAACATAATAATGACAAAGTGTACCTTAAAGTACTGTAGTGGGTAACATCAAAGCATATAAAACATTGTTTATGGAGGTTTCATTGAGCGATGCTGACAATTAACTAGCGGCAACCAGCAGTAATATGGCCTGGTCCGTATGGCTATTGCCAAGGTTTAAAAAGTTATAAATAACACAAGATAACATGTGTGTGTGACGGGTAAAGTAAGAACATATACAAAAATATACTTTAATGAAGACAGATAAAAACAAGAAACCTCATGTCAACCCAAGTTTGTGCTAGCAATAAACCAGCAAGTCAACGATGAAGTCAGTGTAAAAAAAGTCACTTGACAACAAGGGATACTGTTATGCAGTATTAAAAGACAAATTGCACAGTATAAAACACAAAGTGTGAATATAAAGTGCGTATTTTCTCTCGTAATTACTGCAAGTTAACAGTCTCTGGCTGCTGTTTGTCTCAATAGTACTGCTGCAGCTTCATGCTACTCGTTTGTCTACGCTCGATGGGAATTTTCATACTGACATGACATGTGATTGGAAGTCTACAGTCGTACTGTCCAATAGAGTTTGGAGTTACGTGTCCGACTGTAGACGTTTGTCAAATCAGAAAGCTTAACTTTCCACAGTCACTGTAGACTCGATCCATATGTCCTTGTGATTGGAAGTCTACAGACATTTGTCAAATCAGAATGCTTAACTTTCTAAAGTCCCCGTAGACAATGCACCATCAAGGTCTGATGAAATTCCCCAAATCTGGCAGCGAGGTAAGAAGTAGGCTACTTGGGCTAGCAGAGCTGCATCTTGCCACCAATTGATTCAACTCACAGCAGGTAATAGCTAAATGTTTGGATTATATTGATGTGAATGGTTATTTTGAATAGTTTAATGCTACGATCCACGTTTGAGTTACAGCTTATGGAACTGTTTGTTGAATCAAGATGTATTGTTTTCTACAAGGCATACAGCATAGGCTACTTGTGACTGTTTATTTTTTATAAGAAGTTTTTTGTTTATGCCTTTTTATTTGATTTTAGTTCATGTTCTATTCTATATGAATATCTTCATGATAAAGTCTGCATTTAAAAAACAAAAAAGTCTAACTATCTGATGTTTTCAATAGCTTCCATATGATGTGACCGAAATAATCCAAATTAAAGCAGATTCATTTGATGTAACAGTACATGGAAGGTATGGGAACACATTGAAACTTCCCACTGCTGAATTTGAATAAATCATATGAAATGGACTGGGCTAAAAATCCGGGGTAGTAATACAATGCTGTATTGATGTGTAGTCACTGGGTCACATGACATGAAAGCTATTGAAACTGAAATTATCTTTAATTAAAATGTTTGATAAACGTTCTTGTTATTATTTTCACTGATATGGACAAGTGAGCTCAGAAATATTGAAAATAAGGTTGGTTAAGTCCCGCTTATGTTCTTCAGGGTCATCAAAAAAATATGTATGATGTTTGACATTTCAGAATGCTAACAAATGTGTTTTTTTAATCAGAAAATAAATGCATTCTTTACAAAGCCAACACTGTAAAGCATTTTTACTTCACATTATTGTAACAAAAAAGAGCAATTGCTCCATTTCCGTCTGCAGTTAAAACATTGCAAACCCTGTTCATTTAGAGACAAACTGTCTTACAGCCCCAAGTCCAAGAAGCTAGACTGCTTTGAAAGGTTGATTGTTATTGCTGCTTGAAAGGGAATGAATTTTGGTCCATTAACTCGCCGACTCTCTCCTGCAGGGTCTTCACCACCTCTTCTAGGATGAACAAGTGTGTGTCATCAAGGTCCTTGAGGATGAACTTCTTCCCCAGGGCCATTTTTTCATCCAGGAACAGGAGGAATTGTTTCATGGCGGGATCACTGGTCCGGCGAGCAGGATGGGAGCAAGGGGAATATTTTGTAAGTCAATATACCCTTTACAAATGTCAAAAAATAACCTGCAGACATGGTTTTCTGTTTGTGTAGATCAGAATTACTTTGTCAAGATGCAAATGTCTCTGGACAGATTTACTTACCATTCAACAAGGACACCTTTGTGTACGTTGACCATGTTGACAGGTGCAGAGGAATAAGCAGTCGATGCTAAACAAAACGCTCGAAACCTGTAACACAAACATATTTTTATTTGCGACCGTAAACAAGAGAGGCTAACGAGAGTAATGGGTAAACTCAAGACAGTTTGTCAGTCAAGAAATATGAACGAACAATGTAAAAAAAGGTGTCATGTCCAGGTCTGACTTGTCAAATGAAAATAGTAACTTTAACATAAGATGCCGTTAACTTAGAGGGGGAAAAGGTTAGGTAACGTTGGTGCCTCAAACACAAATGCTAACGTTAGCTTTAGGTTTTAACCTGGTTAGTTTGTTAGCCTTTTTAGTCCCGCAACAAATATTAAGAAGAACAAACTATCGTTAAACCTTAAGATACATAGTAATATTTAGGCAAAGGAGTTGAAAAGGACGAGAGACTCAAACCAACCTGAGAGCTGTGTCTGTTGTCTATGCTAATGTCTCATAGCATTGTAGATGTACTGTCTGCACCGAGGGACAATCTTCTGCGATGCAAAGAACGCGAAGGCGGAATAAATGGCAATATATAGTATCGCAAGTTAATTCAAGTGATGAAAGGAATATTGCGATTTTATTTTAGGTTCTAAAACTACAATATACAAATATTCCACTTAAAGTAAAAGTACTGCATTTCAGTTTTAAAGTGACCTTAAATTAGTATTGTCTGTAAGATCTAATAACAGTAAAAGTTCTACTTAAAACTAAAATGAATTTGATTTAATAATAAATCAAAGCCCATATTACCATAAAGCAGTCGTGCCTAGTGACTCACAACTTCTCCCTTAGTAGTTGAAAGATAGAAGAATAGACAAAGTCCAACTTGATACATTTATTCATAGTCAGCATTGCTTGTGGCAATTTGGACAATAAACACATGGAGATTGAAAACCAATTGCCTGATTAGTCCTGTACAAATGAATAAAGCAACCTGAAATTATAACAACAGGTCCATTTGAGGTAAAGTTCAGGAAGGAACATGTTTTGGCCAACAATATGACACACATACTTGAATAAGAGTTAAATAAAACAATTTAAAAAATAGAATCTAATACCACTCGTCAAAAATACTGATTGGCATGAGTGGCAAAGACAAGTCAGTGCATCTTAATGTACATTTTGAATGACCATAATGTGCCATATGTCAAACTGGTAAGTAAAAGTGCCATTAAAATATATTATACATTTGAATGATCTGAAACTCGTAATTTGGATCTTTCAAAAATGTCAATGATTTTAAAAATACTCTATGTGAGAGAGACCAATCTAAAAGGATGACTAGAAAACTAAATAGCACCCAATATTTCACAACTGACTACTCTTTACAATTTGATGTGTAAGTTATAATTAATTTCACTATTTATACTATGATCACATTAGTGGTTGTTTATGTAAATGTACAACAAGGAAAGGCAGTTATGTTTCCATTTGGTTTAAAGGGGATGGGTGTCTGGCTCTACCCCATTTCAAGTAAAAAGTTTATCGGTGTGTTTATGTTCATATATTTTAGTCAGTGGCTGATGTAGCTCTGCAGAGCTTCCAGGATGAACTGGAGGCTGCGCTTGTACAGAAAGGAGTCCTTCTTCTCTGGCTTGCAGATGTTGAGATGATCTACGTCCACCTCGATGAGCTCCCCGATGCCGAGATCTGAAACCAAACCAGAGCCTGATCAAGGTATGTGCTAAAATAACAATATTACATCCTTATTGTTTTCAAGATCTATGCATTCATATTTAGGCTATATCCAGGGGTGCACATAACTTTTTTGCCCTGGTTCTCAAAGGAGCACCTGGAGATGTTGCTTGGTGGTCATCCTTAAAATGAAATAAACTGTAACTTTTGAGGGGGTCTTGACTTTATTTGCCAGACACACGGCACTGAACACACGTGCAGAGGTGAACACAGAACACACATGCAGAGGTGAACACAAGACAACATTAGCACGACCAGTAATCCTACAAGCTGTCATCACTACCCTCCTGACTGTTCTCCTCACTGTCTTCCTCTCTGTCAGACATGGTAGCTGATGATGTAGGCCTACTTCTTTCTCTCTGGTTGAGTCTGTGATTAGCTGCTTGCATCCACAAGTCAGCAGCTGGTTTTGGGTCGAAAGTCTCTGTTGTCATCTTAGAAAAGTGGATGTAATCAAATAAGTATGTGAACATAACCAATAACCTACCATAGCCAATAACAAATTAATGTAATTTATTTTATTTTTGTTGTTCATATCTTATCTTAACATTTTTTTTTATCTCCAGTTTTAAAGGATATTTTTGGTTACTGTCCTATAGTATACATTGGAATGATTTCAAACCTGTTTATCCCAATAATTATAAAGGAGAGCCTTGGAAATATGTGCTTACATAAATTGTGACCAAACCGTTTGAACTTAGACTAAAGTGAACCATCTAAACACTCAGAGTCCTTACCTCACTGAGCTGTAGTATCAGCCTCTCAGTCTGACTGGAGAGGACTCTCCCTCCACATTATTGTAGAAACATCTTCTTCTTATATCCGTTAAAGCAGCTAGCACCAGATTCTAATAACAACAGCGCGTACCGGTGCACCCTCCCTCTCTCTCTCGCTCACTCGCATTTTGGCTGTGAGCTGCAGGGCGCCAGATAAGCCAACATCCCCCATTTTCATCACTCACAGCGCCCATCGTACAGGGCAAATGCAACGTGTAACCGGGGTGAAAAGGGTGTACATTTACTTAATTGTGAATATTGTTACATCAAGGCCGAAAATTAGGATGAGCCCCAACGGTCAAAAATGTTTTTTTTCCTCCCAGAGCTGTCAGCGCAGCGCCTCCACAGATCTGGCGCCCTAGGCGAACATCTATTACGCCAGTGCTACGGGCCGGCCCTGAGTTCATATCATAGGTTCATATGCAACTCGCAAATATATTTCTCTCTCTCTTCTCTCTCCTATCTTCTCTCTTTTCTCTTCTCCCTTCTCTCTCTTCTCTCTCTCTCCCTTCTCTCTCTTCTCTCTCTGCCTCTCTCTCTCTCAATGTTGGTACGCAAATGCGCCTTTTTTCAAATGACACGGTGCTCTTTTTTTGGCGGAGGTGCGCATGCGCACCTGCGCACCAGTTATGTGCAGCCCTGGCTATATCGTTTGTGACAGGATTGCACTACAAAATCTCATTGTATATTTTGTGTATAATGACAATAAAGGCCTTCTATTCTATTCTACATCAAAACTACATTTCCCATGTTCATTAATGTTACATACTTGCTGACTGTGTTGGCACCACTAGGATCTTGATCATTGGACCGATGTTGGTTGGCAGCGTCTCTGCAAAGCTCAGCACCTTAAATTCCTTTTCTTTTGCCATATCCAGGAAGTTCTCATTCAGATTGCGCAGTGCTGGTGAGTCTTGAAAACACATAGAAAATTTAAATAATTATTTAAACATTTCTATGAAACATTTACAGTCTTGTACCTCAGAATGTATTTGTTTATCTTACCTTTACAAAGTTCTCTGACTTCTACAGAGGGAAAGAGGAGATATCTGACATTGACCGAGTACTCTGCCATAAAGGTGCCATGGTGAGGAACACTATAGAACATAATGCCCTTGGTGTTGTTTAACAGTGCCTGCATTTCTGGGTCCTCAGAGGCATCCAGCAGCATTTTCTTCACAAGCAATCCTATTGGATGAGAGGATACAGACCGACAGTAAGCACAACCTTTAAATCAGCCAATTGCAATGTTGTGAAATATTATGTTTGTTATATATGTTTGGATAACACAAGGCAGATCTAATTCTCCAAATAGTATAATACTCAATATTAATGTAGCCTAATCTTGATCTGCTACTGTGCAGAGATTTGATTTACACAGACTGACTAGACCTGCAATACACAGAAGCTGCACAACATTCAAATGTTCTTCTGGAATTCAAATTCCAATGTTTATAATAAAGCTTCAAACTATTCAGTACAGCCCTAGTTTGAGCTATTTGTGCCAAATTCTGACATGTTTGTGGAAGGAAAGTTCTGACAGACTACCTCCCATACTGTGGGCTACCCAGACCACAGGTCTCTCTCCGACTCCAGCCAGCTTTAACTTCTTTAGCAGCTCTCGACTTCTGTAGGCCAAGGACTTTCTGGAAAAGTTAATGAATACTGGAGAATTCAGGATAATAAAACATTTAATTTCAATAAAATAAATCTTAAATATACGTAATGTTGGATGACTTTTGCAAAATATGAAAGTCATTATTATTGATAAGTAAGTTTCACAGCCCCTAATATGTTATGGAAACATGAAGAAACTACATATTCCTCACCTCTGATTCTCAACAGGACACTTGGCCATCCAGTCACTGAGGTGACTGTCATACTCCACTGATAGCACTCTCAGATTGGGACAGTCAGCAGCCAACCATGACTGTCAATAAAAAAGGACAAAACAAAGATTTGGGTAATGATTCATTTTCTCAAGATGAAGTCAAATCTTCATTAGACCTCACATTGAATTGAGCAAACACTACTAATTCTCCCCAATCGCAACAAAGGCCAATCCATGGTTGTAACAAAGATGTATTTTTTATCGTAGGAGGGAGAACCTGGAAAGAGACTTAATGTTGATCCATATGTGGATTTTTCACCTTCGGCCAGCACTCAGTGTAGTCATCCTTGCTTTCTGTCTCTTCCTCTAACCCATTACGGTCCTTTTGCCTCCAAGTCTTAAAAGCTGCCCCGAGAATCCCATGGATGAAGAGCACGTCAGCTTTGATTGGCTGGCTGGAAATGAACACATTGTTAGGGACAACTGTTGGTTTAAATAGTAAATCAAATGAAACGTATACTTTATGAACAATTATGTGGCAATAGAAATAAGTGTTTACCTACTTGTCACGTGTTTGAGGGTGGAGGATATAGATGCCGTCTTGGTATTTCTCTTTCACCGTCTCCCTATCCAGGTTGGCGAGAGCGCGAGCTGCATGAGACGCCTGCATGACATGAGGAGACTGCATCATCTCAGCCAGCACAGATATCCAGCCTGAGGTAGTGATACAGGTAAGGAAGAAAAAAAGAAAATATTGGATTTATTTCTATACAGAAAACAAACATACATACAAGTCTTAACAATACGTATATTGTAAAGCAATTTGATACAAGTTGAATGATGATCCTAGTGATAACATTATGTAATCCATAGATGAAATAGGAACATTTCCTCCAAAGATCATCCTATAATAATCAGATGAGTGTCCGACTTACCAGACTGGGAAATGGCCTGGTAAGCACTTTCATTGAGCGCCAAATTTCCTATGATTCGAACAATGTTCCTCTGGATCTTCAGGGAGTCTTTACGAAGCTGATAAACCCTCTGGAGGAGCTGCAGACCCCCGTTGGAAACTATGTGTTCACAGTGGCTCTCTACCTGCAGGCAGGATGCGTTTCAGTAAGTTCCACACATTTTGTTATGATTAGTATGTAATTATAACAAATGTATTGGCTTTAAAAACCACAAGCTGCCATCTAATTCTATTACATTTAAAAGAAGAAATATATCTCTATGGTCAATATATCTAAACCCTCTGCACCTGAAAATAAACCAATGTCAGTATATAAATAGCATTGCAAGTAAGAGGAAAAAATATATGATTCAGTTCAACCCACCTGGCCAACAAGATGTGCTATTGAATGCACTTCTGTGTTGCGTTTAACTGATTGTTACTATGATCAGTTCCATTAAAGGAACCAGAAAACTTCCACCAAGACTAGATCAAATGGTTTAAATGTGTAATGGCCATCATTACCTTTGAGTGCTGTACCAGTGCCTGTAGGCAAAAGGATTCCACCTTCTCAGAGGGAACGGAGGTGAGGCTCTGTGCGTAAGGCAGTCCATTCCCTCCAAAACACCACAGACCGCCCTGCAACGTAGGAGGGCAAGTGTTAGAAAGAGGCTGGAGAAATCATATGTAGCCTTTTTTGGACAAACAATTTATTTTCCTGCCAGTTTGAGTTCTAGATAAGTCTGAAAAAGGCAGTATATAGAGTGCATTCCGTCACAATTACCCGTTGTGCTGCCAGGGACTGGGTGCTCTCTCTGAGGGCCAGGGATGTGAAGTACTGAACACATTTATCCACCTCAGACTGAGGCAGAGACGCCAGTAGCTGTCTCAGTCCGTCCTCTGCCGACAAATTCTGTGAAGAATTCAACACACCATAGTTTTCATCTTATATTACTCTGTGATTTGAAGCTAAGGTAACCGAACTCTATTTTTTCTAACTACATCTTACTTTAGTCTTTTCTTAAACAATATTGCAGTCAGTCAGTTAATGTCCATTCAAGTCAATGTCATTGTTGTGTCTTAGTCATGAAAAAAAAGGGTAATTGACAAACATATTGTGTCATAGTTTTAATTAATGAAATGAACAATGTCCGTATTACAGATATTGAAGGATTCTAAACTTTAGATTATTTATCAGAGCTACTTACGTTCTTCAGTTCAGGCAGTGCAGGTGAACGCAGGAAGAATCGAAGGTCTACCTTAGGGGTCCGGGCCAGACCCACTGCTGTCCGCTGGTCTATAATCTGGGCTGCTGTCTGGTACTGGTAGTCTGCATTTTGAATAACAGTTCACTTCACTTGTTGTATACACGGTAAACCTTGAGTGATATGCAACAGTTTTAGAGTATTTTACCCTGCCAGTGGTGATTCTCTGCCAGCTCCTGAACAGCCTGCACTCTGATGGCTTTATTGGGTGACATTGTCCTCTTCAGTAAGGCCCATAATGCCACCTCATGGGGGTCTGCATCTAGATGGCTGAAGTGCTCTAAGATATACAGATAGAGAGCACAGTGACAGGCTCAACATTTATACAACAAAGTGATCACAACAAGGCACTACTCATATTTCTAAAGGCACGGTGAAATTGAACTCTGACTGTATCTACTATGACCAACTACCAGTATATACTGTACCACTGCTAGGATGTTACAAACCTTGTGGAGTCAAACCTTGTGTCATCAACATGGCCGCTTTTTATTTTTCAAAAGTTAATTTATGATATGTCTTCCTGGAAAAGAAGGTCACATGTTTCAAAAATCTAAAAACAGATTGTGCATTTATGATTAAAAGTCATAAGTGAGAGGTAATATAAAGTCAGTAAAACAACCATTCATGTATGTTACAGCTGATTGCACAATATGCATGGACTGTGAGACATTCAAAACAGGATGTTCATGTACAAGGCAGGTGTTTCCTTTAGTCTTAACGTCAACACTCCACATACCAATGAGTACAACTGTAGTTTCATGAGAATACATATTTGGTTTCCACTTGCAGCTACATCTGCTTTGCAATCTTAGAAATGTTTTGGGAAATACTTTGGTCTTAAACTTTTGCACTTTAAATAAAATGTCAGGTGATCTGGATCAGTATAACAACTTTGTATTTCTTACCGTCTAGTGATTGCAGCAAAACCCTCGAGGATAATTCCAGAAACCGCCTTGCTGCTTTGTGAAGTTCCCTCCTTGCTTTGTGTGTGAGCCCTGAACACAGTGTAAAAAATGACTACAATGACCTAGAAAATCTAAATTGTATTTCTATCAAAACAGAAAGGAATAAAGATTGCTAGTTGGTATGAGTATTGGTTTGTAGGTGATTGTTTTCACCAAATGAGAAAACCTTGACCAGTGGGAGTGAGATCAGTTAACACCCGAATATTTAGGAAGGAAAGATTATATGGAGGGGAAGGAAGGAATCACAGGAAGTAATGATAACAGACGTCACTGGACACCTGGACATGGCAAACTCAGTAGGACTTTGTGCTGAGGCAAGACATAAATAAAGCCTAAAAAAAATCTAATCCAAACCAAAATGTAAAATGGTCAAATTATTATTTGCAGTTTTATAAGGCGTTTATAACAAAGGGACATCATTTCCAGCTTAGTCATAAAGTCTGGGTGGATGATTTTCAGTACCTGCAGTAAGGTTGTCCTTCTCATCTGAAGGAGTGGCTCTCAGATAGATGTAAGACTTGTACTTTTCCTGAAGAATTGCACTAGTATCAATGGTCACAGCCTTGTCCAAGGCCACCACTTCATAAGTGATAAAAAGACAGCCCCTGTAGAAAGTTAATGGATAAGCTGTGGTTGAAAGCTCTTTTCACACAAGTTTGCAATTGATTACAAATGATTACATGTTTGCAAATAGTGTAACTTACCCAGAGACAACTGCAGCAGTTACTTTAGCAACCTTTCCTATATGTCAGCAAAAAATGATTAACCTTTATTGATATACATTAGATACATGTTTCAAACTGTACTCACAAACGCATACAGGTTAAATCCATGTATTACGAGTAGTTAGTTATGTGAGTTTGCTAACAATAATCGGTATACACGTATGAGAATTGTGTGCCATCATAACTTACTTAAATCTTTCCACAGAGGCACTTTCCTTACTCCAGGCGACCCAGCTGTGCTCAGTCTCCGACAGCGGATCAAACGGAGAGCAGCTGCAGACATCCTCCGCCTGCATGTCACCAAGTGTGTTGGGGATAAATGAATAAAACCGTAGGAATCTCAGGCAAGAAACGAATACAGCTGTGCATAGCACGGTCATGCGTGACACCTGATAATGCCAAGTGGTAAATGTAACGCCAATCAAATCCGTCACAAGTTCTCTAGCTAACGTTAGCTAACTTAGCTGCAGTTTAGAAGCACCTCCTCAGCTGTCTGTCAGTCTCAGCTCATCTTCCAGCTGTATGTTACCCTAAAGTTAAACTAAGATATGAGATACTCGTTGGCATAAAAAACGTAACTGTTACAACGGCCTAAGCTAAATTAACAGTTAGTTAACACTAACCTGCACTAAGAACTAGCTTCAAAGCTAACGTTTTGATGTAATAGCTTCCGCGCCAGCTAACTGTGAGCTACCCAGCTGGGGGGTTGGTTAACCGGTTCGTGCGGGGTTTATTTTCCTTATTGAAATGTAACATTACCTTATTTATCGACTGCTGTCAATGCACTATCGTGATGTTCTCTGCAGCGCCCGGTGTTCATAAACACCACGGAAAGTTGTCTCACAAATAATACGTCATCCACAGCAACTAACCCTAACGCGATCAGGTACAACGAAAATAAGTGTTTATTATTTGTAACATTTAACACTAAACGTTTGCAGTGCAGTGAGTGTTAATTTGTGTTTTTGTTATGATATTTGTTCAAAATACAATCAAATATCTGACAATATGTTTTGCTGTCGACAGGAGAGGAACAGGTCAGGTGTATGAAACGTTTTGCTGAAAGTCGCCAGGTAACAATGACTATTTATTTAACTATAACACTGGTCTTCCTTTTAAGGACAAAACAACAATAATTTACTGGTTTGGGCATCGACATGCAGTAACAGTATCATTTAAGTGCAAGAAAAACCAAGGCGAACTTTGTTGTTGTGGAGTGTGGATGATGAGTTTCAAGTATCAGTCTGAGGATAAAATCTTGTCTGTTGTCTAGTGGTAAGACAGATATTACTACTATTTCTCTTAATACATGGCAGGAAGGTGGATATACTTTGGGCTCTTTGCAGGCACATCTTCTCCCCAATATCACTGATGCCCAGTAGACAGGTAACAATGATGTTAAGTCAGTTTTAATTACCTATGTCCTGTGCAAAACTTTTATTGTGATAGTCAAGATGGACATAAAATGAATCTGCCTTCTTAATGTGGTGGACCTCATACCTATACTAATTTAAGAACACACATGCAGTCTAATACAATAGTCATGAAACAAATACAAACTATTTTCAAAGTTTATAATGTTCAGAGAAAGACATGTTGATGTTGGTGATACCGACTGACATGAGGCCGTAACATTTGTCTGGCACGGTCAACTAAAATCAAACTTCAAAACTATACAACTTAATACTTTTATTTTTAATACTTTATTGTGGTGCAATATTTTCACGACATAATTTCCATATCTTGTGTTCCCTTATGCAAGTTAAGGGCAGTGCTTTGTTTGTATTGGAAAACAGACTAGAAACCACAGTTTTTGCATAAAAAACTCATCATACTTTTTGATTCTAGCATTTAATTAATTAACTTATGAGCAAAATTCAGTAATGTAATTTCAAACATAAAACACAAAACTGTTGACACCTAATGCCCAATCTCTCTCCAGCTCACACATACTGTTCTTGCAATCGCAGACATACTTAATTACTTTGAATGCCACACAATCCCATAAACCAAAAGTCAATAAAAAACATGTGTGAGACAGCAATAAAAACATTAAACATCAGAGTTTTACATACGTTCATGACTCAACGTATACAAGTTAACACACAAACATTTACTTTCTTTTGGGATACACATACATCATTTTTTTTGCTGTGACAAAGAAGAAGTCTTCCCCTGCGTCGTACTTGCCTAATGACCAGTACGTTTTTGTATTTTTATATATTTGTCGGTTTTTGCCTTGTCTAAAACAAACAAAGATTCTGTTTAGGTATACACGAGTGTCAATCACCACTGAATACAGACTGAATTTCATTAGCAACCATTGTCACTCTGCTGAGAGTGAAGATAAGATAAGATGGACCTTTATTTATCCCCGTGGGGAAATTCAGGAGTTAAAGCAGCAACAGTGAGGGTGAAATACAGGACAGTACAGAATCACACAAGGTAAAAAAACTGTCTGTTATTTTATGATAGAAGTATGCCTAATCAATACCAGATATATATTAAGAAACTAAAATACACACAGAACCTTTTGTAGTTTAAACAACGTTGATGTCCTTGTTGGCTCCACTCTGCATCATCTTGTCATATAAATCCTCATCATCATCATCGATACATGTTCAGTCTGAAATCATTTGTAAATCCATTTACCACTCTGGGCTCATTTAGTAAAGAGTCATGTGGGTGCACTTACTCCTTCAGGTGCATGTTTCCTGATATGCTCTAATAATGCTCTCATAGGCTGGAGGTGGGGTCTGTGTAGCATTGAAACCCCTCAGGCCATTGTTCCCCCAAAATGACTCGGGTCTGGGTGGGGTGGCAGCCGGCTGAGCTGCTGTTTGAGCTGATCCAGTGGACATGGTCAGAGTTGGTGTACGAGGCAGAGTGGTCTGGCTCCCTTCCTCTGCCTCCCTTGCAATTTGGCTGCACTGCAGGAGCGGGTGGAAGGTAGAGGCCCTGAAGCTGGATTTGTGCCCCAGTGGGTCGAGGTGGTCCGGGGAGGAAGTCTGGCGGTGGAAGCTGAAAGCAGCACTGACCAAACTGTTGTTGCTGCGCCGGTCGTAGCTGCTGTTGCGGTTAAAACCTGGACGGCTACGGGAAGACGTGCGTGATTGGCGAGGAGTGCGGCGGGTGATGCTGGCAGAACCGGCTCTGCGTCGGGACATCCAGGTCAAAATCACATAAACCAAGGCCCCCAACACCAGGCCCACAGCAATGGACACACAGAAAGCTATGATCAGAGGGACTGTGAAGAGAGAAACACATGTCAAAAAGGATATTTTAGGATTTATGCTTCAGTATAAAACTTAATTTCCTTTTTCAATTCCTCTACCCAATCAACTTATACACTCTTCAGCTTCACTTTTGGGGACAAGAGCTTAATAATAGCTATGCAATATATCAAAATGCACTGAATCGGTAATAACAGTCTTTTTTATTATCCCCTCGGAATGGAAGGAATCTTAACTAGAATCTATGCGTTTACCAAGATTACAAAAAGCATCTGTTTGTTTAAAAATGGAGGATTGCCAACAGTGTCTTGCAAGATGGTGCCCCCTTGACTAAATAACAGGCTTTCCTCCTTTATGTTTACCAGAGCACCGGAAAACAAACCAGTTGCATTTTATTGCAACAAAAAAAGGACAGATTTTTTTGTTCATTGCTTCTCTGCCTTAGAAGCAGTCGTACCAACATAAGTGTGCTTGAGAGAAGAGAGAGAATGCAGCAGCTAAGAAATATCCTTTGGATCGCTGCCAGAAAAAACAAATCAATTTCCTCTGAATACAGTTAAGCATTCAAAAGCTGAACCCGCTTTGCTATCATTCCATATTTCCACAGTCGTTTTTTTCTCTAACTTTTGGAAAAGGGGAAGGAGACACTGGTGAAAAGTCATCTGGAAATGACATTTCGGGGGAAAAACACTGAAAAAACATGTCGGGAGGACCTTATAGATTTAGAGTGAGTTGAAAAAAAGTTTCAATTAAGTGATCTTCAAAGGAAATCAGGCCCACATATTGAATCTATTTCAGAGATAATTAAAGCTTGAATTCCCGAGAGAACAACAATGCCAATTATGCAGACCACATCAGAAAGTCCAGCCTAAAGAGAAGGGAAGTTAGAAAAAACTCACAGGCATCAAAGGACTGAAGTATTTCCAGAAAGAGATTTGTGTTGTTCTCAGCCATGACTTCGTGAAGAAAAAGAGAGACTGGTTCTCAATTCAGTCCGTCTGTTACTCTCCCTTCTCCTCTTCCTCTGTCAATTCCTGCCTGTCTCTCTAACTTCTGATGGGTATTCCTGTCTTTCTGGCTCCCCTCTTTCCTGTTCTCTAACTTTCTCCCTCTCTCGTACTACGCTCACTTTCTCTGTCAGTATGTCTGTCTCCCTCAGAGGGAGACTCAGCCCAGAGGCACACAGGACTGGTGGCTAACCCTGGCAGTCGTCTTGTTTATGGAAGCGGAAAACGACACTGTCACATTTCCTGCTTTTCTGCTTGAAATTAGCAACAGGAGTGGCTTATCTCTCCAGGGCAGAGATCCTGGAGGTGGGGAGACGGGGTGTTGCTATAATCACTTCCTCTCCCATCATTTCCTTCAGGTTGATTAATGTAGAAGGGTAGCAGCCCAGCGCCATTAGACTAATAGTACTTCAGCTTTCACCATAGGAAACTAAGTCCACCACAATCCCCAATATTTGTGTTTCTTTCAGAAATGATAAATATTTCGCTCTAATATTTTTTCCTTCCACCACAGAGACCACAGGCGACAGTTTGGCAGTAACAGGCCTGCAACCACAGCTGGATTTGATGGTGGCAATACTGTAAGTGCTTTTAAAACTGAGTTGTAATTATGCAAAAAATGACACTACTGCCTGCCCCTCCAGCGTCTTTGTTATGAAGCTCAGTCTTTCCATACTGTCTGCCAGGTCAGCGGTGCCTGCATTGGACGTCTGGTCTTTTCTCAGTGCAAGAGATCCAGTAAAAACATTGTAGTTTGATAAGACAGAAAAGCTTATGTTACACATTCTTGATCCCACAGTCAGCATTGTTTTAATCCCCTCTGAACTAAATCTGCTAAGTCATCAGTACAGTCAGAGGGAAGGATGCAAGCAGTCATATTGGTTTGCATTTAATGTACACCAGCCCCACTTTTCCATCAGCTTTGGGTTTGCTTCCCATAGGTGATAAATAATCAATTATTTACTGGAAACCTGTTAATGTTGTCCAGTAAGATGAATAATTCTTAGATGTTGAGACACATTTTGTGAGTTCCTTATGAGTCAAGTAAAAGTTCATTATAGGCCAATATAACAAAGCATGCCTCAAAGGGCTAAACATATAATAAAAACAGCATTAAGCAAAGTTAGCAAAACACAGTAAAAGTTATGCAAAGTGCGTACAATTTTGATTAAGAAGTTGACATTCGTCAGCCTTCTCATTGGCCAAAGGAGAGAGAGAGAGAATGCCTGACCAACTCTTGAACTTCCTTTAATTGTTGACTGTCGTAAAACCTGTCCTAAATATAAAAAAAACACCCATAACACTGAATGGTATTTGTAGCCATTGTGTTCTGCAATAGAGTAATTGGAGAGGTATGTGCTGGTGGGAGAGACATTCTTTGAGCTTTATAGCTGAAGTTCACGACCTTATCAAAATGCCATTGGCCAGAATGGAGGGGAAATGACAGTGTGCAGCCCTAAAATGTACTTTCTGTAAGGGTTTCAAGCAGTAACACAATAGGCAGTGACAAAGTATTTACTACATTATTGCAGTGTTTAAAATCAAACAGAAAAATAATGAAATTAATAAAATGAATGATAAAGACCTTATCAATCCCAACAGTAGCTTTTATAATTCTGCCATTCCGATGCATAAGATATCATAGTAGCGATAAGTGATATGTTATGCGATAATTTTTACGATGAGGATTCTACAATAGTCTAATACCAGTCTCCACCATGCGTTCCTCTCATCCCCTCCTTGACCAGTAGATGGAGTAGTACTCCAGGATAACTTCCCAACATATCTAACCGTCATGTTTCCTGAACACCTCAGAGGGCAGGTGAACGCCCATATAAACATGCAGCTTGTTTTAAATAATCCATATATTAACCAGGTGAATCTCGTACTTAAAATGCAAACTGCTCATATTATTGTGAAATATAGGGTGTTTGTTCGGCTACACACTTTACATCATCCTCAACGTATTCATCAAACAGTTTTGAAATCACATATTTTGTAACATTGCAATGAAAATCAGTCTCTGATATTTTAAGGCATCCTGGCTGGAGCCAGGATGGTGGAATGAGCTCCCCATTGACATCAGGACATCAGAAAGCCTACACATCTTCCGGCGCAGACTGAAAACTCATCTCTTTCGACTCCACTTCGAGCAATACAATGAAAAATAAAAAACAAAACAAAAAAACAAAATAAAAAGCACTTATATACTAACAAAGCACTTATATACTAACAAAGGACTGGCTTATCTAAAGCCAGTTGAGTAGCACTTAAAATGGTTTGGCTCTATGAAACCTAGGCAAGGCAAGGCAAGTTTATTTATATAGCACTTTTCTGTACGCGACAATTCAAAGTGCTTTACAAAACAAATTAAAAGACTTTTTAGGAATAAATACAGTAAAAACACATTATATAATGGCATTTTACAACAGGCATTACAAAGCAAAGATATTCAAATAATAAAAATAAACACCACAGGTATACAATACATGTTTAAACGGCATACTGTAGTTCGAATATGATCATTTCAATTAAAAGCAGCGGCAAAGAGATATGTTTTTAGTCTCGATTTAAAAATAGTAAGCGTTTCTGCGGACGTGCATGATTTGGGTAGTTTGTTCCAGAGTGTCGGGGCATAACAGCTAAATGCTGCCTCTCCATGTTTTGTTGTTACTCTCGGAACCGATAGCAGACCCGTCCCAGAAGACCTGAGGCACCTCGATGGCTCGTAATTATGCAGGAGTTCAACAATATACTTTGGTCCTAAACCATGTAATGATTTAAAACCTAGCAATAGTACTTTCAAATCAATTCTTTGGCCGACTGGAAGCCAATGTAGAGATTTCAGAACCGGACTGATGTGATCCACTCTTTTAGTGTTAGTGAGGACACGTGCAGCAGCGTTCTGAATCAGCTGCAGTTTTCTGATGGATTTTTTTGTCAGCCCTGTGAATACACTATTGCAGTAGTCGAGTCTACTGAAAATAAAAGCATGGACAAGCTTTTCTAAGTCCTGTTGTGACATTAGTTTTTTAATCCTCGATATATTCTTCAGGTGATACTAAGCAGACCTAATGACTGTTGATGTAATGTGGCTGTTGAAATTCAGGTCTGAGTCCATCACTACACCTAGATTTCTGGCTTTATTAGTGGTTTTGTAGTCTGCTGACTGAAGCTCTGCGATTACTTTTAATCGGTCCTTCTTTGCTCCAAAAACAATGATCTCTGTTTTTTGTTTGTTCAGTTGGAGAAAGTTCTGAGTCATCCAGTCAGTGATGTGCTCAATGCACTTGCTCAGTGTTCTAATCGGAGAATAGTCTCCTGGTGTGAAATAAATAAATCTGGATGTCGTCTGCATAGATGTGATAGCTTAGATCGCTCTTTTTAATAATTTCAGCCAGAGGTAGCATATAAATATTAAAAAGCAAAGGTCCTAAGATGGAGCCTTGAGGAACCCCGCATAACATATGATATTTGTCAAAGTTGATGTGTAGTTGCCTATTGAGACAACGTTTTTTCTGTCCTTTAAGTAGGTACTAAACCAATTTAGAGCTGTTGCTGAAACTCCCATCCAGTTTTCAATCAATCAATGTTTATTTATATAGCCCAATATCACAAATGTTACATTTGTCTCAGTGGACTTTACAGTTTGTACAAAATATCAGTATGACAATACGACACCCTCTGTCCTTAGACCCTCACATCGTACAAGGAAAAGCTTCCGGAGAAAACCCACAGTTTAAAGGGAAAAATGGGAGAAACCTCAGGGAGAGCAACAGAGGAGGGATCCCTCTCCCAGGACGGACAGACGTGCAATAGATGCCGTGTGTAAATTGAAAAGATAATACATTTGCAACATAGGTAGTCCAAATGTTTGGAAATGCATGTGTGTATAATAGGAAGATGAATCCACGAGGATATCCATCCAGGACCTATGATCCAGGACCACAGCCACGACTCAAGATCCAGGGCTCGCGATCCAGGACAGAGGAGCGCAGGATCATCCATGACTCCGGATCCCGGCGTATATAGACACCAAAAAGAAAGACATTTGGGGAAGCTGGGTTAATCGGAACATGAGAGTACACAGGTATAGACAGAGAGAAGGAAGAAGTAAGATGTCCCCCGACAAACTAAGCCTATATCAGCAAAACTAGGGGCTGGATCTAATCAGCCCTAACTATAAGCTTTATCAAAAAGGAAGGTCTTAAGCGCACTCTTAAAAACGGATAGGGTGTCTGCCGCCCGAACACAAACTGGAAGCTGATTCCACAAATGTGGAGCTTGATAAGAAAAGGCTCTGGCTCCCATTGTACTTTTAGAGACTCTAGGAACAACCAACAACCCTGCATTCTTGGAACGCAATGCCCTAGTAGGACAGTAGGGTATAATGAGTTCTTTAAGGTAAGATGGCGCCTGCCCATTAAGGGCTTTGTAGGCGAGAAGAAGAATTTTAAATTCTATCCTGTGTTCTATAGGGAGCCAGTGTAAGGCAGCCAGAACAGGAGTAATGTGGTCCCTTTTCCTAACTCTGGTTAGTACACGAGCCGCAGCATTTTGAATCAGCTGAAGCGACTTGACTGACTTCTTGGTACACCCTGATAATAAAGAGTTACAATAATCCAGCCTTGAAGTAACAAATGCATGGACTAGTTTCTCTGCATCGTTTTGAGGCAAGATATGCCTGATTTTTGCAATGTTACGTAGATGGAAGTAGGCGGTCCTTGAAATTGATTTGATGTGGGCGTTAAAGGATAAATCCTGATCAAATATAACACCAAGATTCCTTACAGTCTCACTGGAGGCCAAATGAATGCCATCCATAGTTAGTATATCCTTAGATAATTTGTTTCGTAGATTCTTCGGGCCAAGTACAATAACTTCAGTTTTGGTCGTGTTTAACATCAAAAAGTTTAAGGTCATCCACGTTTTTAAGTCCTTAAGGCAGTCTTGAATTGTATTTAGATGATTAATTTCATCAGGCTTGATTGATAAATATAGTTGAGTATCATCCGCATAACAATGAAAGTTTACAGAATGATTCCTTATAATATTGCCTAACGGAAGCATATATAATGTGGTCCTAGTTTTCTAGACGGTCTAGCAATATGTTGTGGTCAACAGTATCAAAGGCAGCGCTGAGATCTAATAATACTAAAACTGATATTCTGCTACTGTCTGTGTTTAAATGAATGTCATTTAAGACCTTTACAAGTGCAGTTTCAGTGCTGTGGTTAGGTCTAAAGCCTGACTGAAACACATCAAAACCGTCATTTAAAAACATGAAATGACTCAACTGTTGAAAAACAACTTTTTCAATCAATTTGCTTAAAAAAGGAAGGTTTGATATTGGCCTGTAATTATTCATTACGGTTGTGTCTAAGTTATGCTTTTTTAGGAGCGGTTTAATAATACCTAATGTACTTATATGATTCTGTTTTCTTCAAGTTTGTTTCTTCTTGGTCGAATGCACTTATTGTAAGTCGCTTTGGATAAAAGCGTCAGCTAAATGAAATGTAATGTAATGGCAGGGATTTGACAACTTTTTTCCAATATAAAACTATAAAAAGGGGTTGTAAGTTAAATCCACATGTTTTTTTATGTCTTA